CGAAGGAAGCAAAACCTTCCTCGATTATTATCGCGCCAAGAGAGAGAGAGAGAGAGAGAGAGACTCGCGCCGCTTCGTTCCAGTTTGTCGACACGAGTGGCTGCCGCTTTGTTGGGGAGAGCGCGTAAATGCGCACTGTGACCTGAGTCTGAGGACAGGTCGAGAGATATCACACCAGCCGATGTAGGACGTGTGTCACGGGCACTGTTACTGACCGATGGCTTCAGGATGACTGGCCGGGGCCCGGATCGGCTGCCAGTGTGCCAGCGGCACACGCGTTACACGCCAACGATCCGCTACGTGGGCCGTTACAATGGGAACGAGACGATGCCCCGCACTATTTTAGAACGAGCGGTTGCGCCCGACCGGGGAAAGCTCGTGATACATACTCGCTCGTACTCGTTACTTCCTTCTTCGTCGTCCGATTTCTGCTGTTCTCCTTTGCTTCCTCTCTTCAGGTCGACGAACATCCTTAACCCATTCACTAACGCAACTACGCAGATATCTCGTAGTAAGCGTAGTACTTTGCGCTACAAGTATAATAACTTACAAAGCCGTTTGAATTGAGGGATTGTTAGAGAGAACGAAAATTTTGTATACCTTTTTCTTTTTTAAAAACACTTTTTATCATCAAAATAATAACTTACATGATTCGAGTATAATTATTAATTATGTGTATGTGTATGTATTACTAAAATTAAAATATTTTTATTGTTGTGGCTGTGTATGATAAGCTTTGAAGCAGGAATGCAGAGACATGTTGACTTATCGGGGCAAAAATATCTACTTTCATTGTCAAATCAAACAAAACGGAAAGAAAACTTCTTTGTATATTGAAAAATTTCATTGAAAAAATAAAAAAGAAAAACACTACGAGATATCTGCAATTAAATATTATTACATTTTGTGAAAATCTATGTGTTCTCCTTGAAATAAAATCTTTGCGAAGGCAAAATTTATTTATCTCTCTGTCTAGCTAACGACAATTATTACAATTATACTTTGATCTCGATCTTTCTTCATTTAATTAAGATTAAAAATGCGTCCTCTGTTGCAAATGTGACGTGACATTTACGTTTTCGTCATGTTTTGTCTATGTGTTTATCGTTTTCGTTTTTTTTTTTTTTTTTTTTACTATTAAATAAATAAATAAGCGGTAATCTTCGTCGATCTGGCAGAGAATGATTTTCTGAGTGGAAAAGTAGGGAATATCGAGCATCTTCTGCTGATAAATAATCGTAACAATCGTAATAATTAAATTAATTTATACGTTTCAACGTTTTTGCAGAATTCGCACAGATAATCAGCTCAGATTAGAAAGCAATTAATCGGCCAGGATTTACCAGGTGATGAATTAGCTCGTTCCCTCTCTAAATTAAAATTTTTAGAACTTTCGTATCACGACCGTACGTTTCGCGAGATCGAGTTTTACGTAATGAGTCGAATTTGGACTTTGAGTTCAACCGATTGACGAAAATGATCGAGACGTGGCGATTAGAACACGGTTCGATATTTCTCGACATTTCATTCTAAAAGTTGCTTTCAGGCAAATCGTACGAAATGGCCTGTCTCCAAAGGAATTTTTCCAGATTCGCGAGTGTTTCGCGAAGCAAACGAATGTTTTTTCACTATCGTAAATTCCGAAAATTCCATAAATCAAGCCGTTTAACAGCGGCACGTCACGGTTTATCTTTCATAAATATTTTACGTCATTGCCGCGATAAATATAACTTCGTAAACACGAATTACATCAAGTTATCGTTTCTCGACAAATATTTGTAAGATACGAAGGAGAGATTTTTTTTTTTTTTTTCTTTATTCAATCAGCAATCAATAGTACAGTTAAACAATATATTCCTTTCTTTTAAATGATTATTCTCTAAACGTGTAATATATTTAAAGGTACAGCGTGAAAGTGATAAAAAGCGGAGGAGCAATAAATGACAACGAGCTTAATATCAAACATATTTAACACACTTGATTATTTCATTCATCATTTTGATACAATAAGCAGTTTTACGAAGCTAAATTGTACATTATTCAAATTATCAAGTATCAAGATAGCCTTAAAACAAGAACTGGAAACAAATGAAATATCATTTTCTAATCGACTACAATAATGCTATTGCAAATTGATTTATTTTTATTCCGTTAATAGTCTAATTTGTTTATCTCTACTAATCTCCCTCTACGTAGTTAACTCATGCAACTGCTTCTGAAGTGACAGTATTATACACATCGACGTTTCCCACGGTGATAGGCTCATTGATACTTGGCTCCGCTTGTCTATTGCCATTAATAATGTTCAAGATATTGTCCGCGTTAATATTATCAAGTTCGATGAAGTAAGTCGACACAGTGCCGTCGGCATCGGTAACAACGATTTGTAGTCCAATCTTTTGTGCCGCTTCCGTTGTGTTTGCTTCTTCAGTGATGGATGATTCTGTTTCAGTATCTTTCAAAGTTGTAGGTTCGTCAGTACTTGGATCTGTCTCGCTGGTACTCGTAGATGTTTCGTCATTTCGCAAAGTACTGCTACTCGATGCGGAAGCTTGTTCCGATTCCCCTGTGTCCGATGTTCCACTCGATCCTTCTGCTTCAGATGCAGAGGTAAACTCGTCGGTGGAAGTCTCTTCATTGCTTAGAGTAGTCGATGCATCGGTTACTGTTGCTTCTGGTTCTGAAGATGGCTCTTCAGTTGTAAGTTCTAAATCAGTAGAGACACCACTTTCTTCTCCTACAGTTGATCCTATTGTTGATTCGTCAGCATTAGAACCTGTTGTTCCATTATCATCGTTAATAATAATCGTAATATTCAATGTATCAACAGTGGGAGTTGTCGAGCTTGGTGTTGTTTCAGTCGATCGTTCCGTTCCCGTTCCGCTAAAATTTCTAGTTTGAGGAACAGAAGTTGCTTGTGTATTTGACGTTGAAGATTCACTGGCATTTGGTTCCGTTTGCTCATCGGAACTGCTGGTACTTACTTCCGATTCCTGACTCGACGTCTCAGTCACCTGCGGTTCATCCGTGACAGTAGAGCTTTCAGTTTGCGATGAAGAGGCTGTTGTTTGCTCGCCATCCGCTGTAATATCGCTGACGCTATAATCGTCTTGTTCATTGCTAGTCGATTTTCTATCAATATTTGTAACATCTACGCTACTCGAAGCACTGGTACTATTGTCACTAGAAGCAGTTGTCTGTCCTGCTTCGGAATTTTCTGTTTGGCAAGCAGATGATGTCGTCCCTTCGCTTTCCAATGTTGAAGTTTCATTTGAATCGTTTGAATCTGTCTGTGTATTTGCGTTACCAGTAAATCTATCACTGTCATTTTCATTGCTCGGAACATTACTATCGGTAGAGGTAGATTCTGGTTTTGTACTTGAAATTTCTAACGATGATGTCTGTCTTTCTCCTCTGACGGAAGAATCTATGCTTGGAGCAGTAGATCTTTGTATTTCTTCAGTTTCCAATGTGCTGGATTCACTAGTATTAGCATCTGTTTGCTTATTATTTGCGGATGTTTCATTACTATTCACAGCACTGCCTGTTTCAGGTGTAACGCTGCCAACATCAACTGATGATTCAATCGTCTGTTGTTCTTGTGTTATTTGAGAATTTTTTGTTTGAGAAGCTGCTTCTTCATTATCTTCTTCTGATGTTGTCGATTGATTAATACTTGAACTACCACTGGTAGTGGATTCTTCATTACTGTTTGATGTTTCAACAACTTCAATTTCTGAAGTTGATTGAGAAGTTGTTTGTTGAGTTTCTAAGGTAGTAGATTCATTACCTTCTGAATCAGTTGATCCTTCAGTATTACTTGATGCTTCAGAAGCTTCAGTCTGCAAAGTTGATTGGGAAGATGTTTGTTGAGCTCTTGAAGTAGTAGATTCTGAATCAGTTGATTCTTCAGTATTATTTGATTCTTCAGAAGCTCCAGTCTGTGAAGCTGATTGAGAAGTTGTTTGTTGAGTTTCTAAGGTAGTAGATTCATTACCTTCTGAATCAGTTGATCCTTCAGTATTACTTGATGCTTCAGAAGCTCCAGTTTGTGAAGCTGATTGGGAAGATGTTTGTTGAGATTCTGGAGTTGTAGATTCACTAGCTTCTGAATCAGTTGATCCTTCAGCATTACTTGATGCTTCAGAAGCTCCAGTTTGTGAAGCTGACTGGGAAGATGT